CGACCATGAAAAATAAGCATTTTGAATTAATTCATGACATTAAGACAGGACAGCACAACTAAAGATACTTCTCAAGAAAGGACTTCCAGAACTTCTCCAGAAAGTGGCAAGAACAATGGGGAAAGTGTGTTCGGAGTGAAGAGAAATCTTCCGAGGGGTATCAACAGTAATGTGTCTTTTCTTATAATAAATTTTTTAAAATTTAACATTAGCCATATATTTGATCATACCTAACAGCATGGAAAGGTAGGCAATTTAGTCTAGAACTATGCCTTTACAAGTAAAAGGAACTATACTGTCAGATTTGCTTTCACTTAAAACTGTGAACTACACTTTAGAACTGACTTTAGTGAAAAAATAAATTATGTAGACATTTGCAAAAAGCACAGCTTAAATTATTTTAGCACTCACTATCAAAAAAGATTCCATGTGTAAATCTTTTTCCAATATGTAATTATATGATCAATTTTATACTAACAAAAAAGTTACACTAATAAAATTTTAGTTAGTAAAATAAAATATTCTTTTAACTGTTAACAATGTAGAACCAAAATTATTTCTGAATGGTTTCTACACAGTATAACACATTAAGTCTTAAGACACTCATAGTTAATAAACTAGTGACATAACAGACACTTTACAGAAGTATGTATAAAATAAGCTGACGGTAAGTGATTGCAGATTTTTGAAATGCTTACAAAGGTTAAATAAAACTGTAATTTCAGTGACTGACCACTTTGCACTCTAAAACACTACTATTTAAATAGCGACTACTTATAATATACAAACTATTGTTAGGTGCAGACATTAAGCAAAAAGAAACAAACAGTTCCTGCCTTATGAAATTTAAAGTTTTGTGGTCTGAGCAAATATAAATGACTACAGTAAAGAACACAATACTTGCCACAGGACATATAAAAACGGTACAAAGTGAGTCCAAAAGGACAGGATTAAATCTAGTAAGATTAAGCAGAGAAATTCTTAATAAAGAAATACCTGAAATTGTAATCATAAAAAAGTAGAAACAAAACTAAAGGTTCAAACCAGGCATGGTGGTGCATGCCTACAATCCCAGCATTCAGGAGGCTAAGATAGGAGGACAGCCACAGTTTGAAAATGCCGGGACTACACAAGCAAGTTCAAGGCCAGCCTGAACTGCATAGTGAGACCCTACCTCAAAACAAAATATAAATAAATAAATAAAGATTCATCAAATGAGAAAGCTTTTATAAATTATGAAACATTCATAGAAGAGTATCTTTGATATATTGAGAGCAAATTTTTTAATGTTTAATAAAAATTTATTAGCCAGGAGTGGTGGCACACATCTGTAATCCCAGCACTTGAGAGGCTGAATCAGGAGAATTGCTATGAGTTCATGGCCAGCCTGGGCTACATAAGCAAGTTCAGGGCCAGCCTGCACTATGTAGTGAGACCCTGCCTCAAAATAAAAAAAAAAAACAAAAAACAAATAAAATCCATTTAAAAAACATTTTGTCATTGATCTTCATAAAAATTCTCCCCCTTCCTTCAAACCCATCTAGCCTACTGTTCTCTTTTTTTTTTTATTAGTACACATTTGCAGTACATAACAGTTATACCCATTGTGGGGAAGAGATACATGTACATAATACATCTCAAATCTTTTTATGTCCCCTTCCTCTGCCTCGTTCTCTCGGTTTCCTGAAAGCAAGTTATAAACAGTAAAATACAGTAATAGGATTCATTATTTTAAACATATATATATACACACACACACACATATGTGCGTTTATATTTAAATTCATTCAAGCAGTACAGACAAATGAAAATGATACTGGTAATTATTTCTTTGTATATGACCTGAACTTTTAGTATGAACTCATCACTGATGCAATTAAGTGATTTTTTTTTTAAATTCTATCTTAATTTTTCACCTAATTTAAATAAGCAGTACATCTTCTGAAAGAAATCTGACAAAAGAACCATAAAAGAAATTAAAACTTACCCAATTATCATGTGCTTTTTTCTCATGGGAAATAATCTGAAAAACAAAGGTATAAAAATACTTACAATTATTTTTCCTAAGTAAAAACCACTTATATCTACTACCATAATTTAATGTACAACCTATAAACTCATAATGCCCCAAACATCTTTGGAGAGACAGTAAACATTTTAAAGCAAATTTTCAGGTACACATGATCTATTCTATTTTACTTTTAAAACAAAAACTGAATGTACAAACATGATTGTTATCGAGGAAATTTCTATTTTTTGCAGTGATCAACTCAACAAGAGTTTCTGACTAACAGATAACCAGCCTGACTAAATATCAGACCCCAGCCAGGCTTGGTGGTACACACCTATAATCCCAGCACTCAGGAGGCTGAGGTAGGAAGGATTACTCCAAGTCTAAGGCCAGGCTGGGCTGCATATTAAATTGAAGGCCACTTTGCACTACATAGCAAGACCCTTTCTTAAAAAAAATTGAGAGCTCAGTGTTGATCCATGTATATTTATGCCATGTAATCCACATTCCCAAGGAAGCAGGGAACTTTAAATATGATTGTTTTATCTCAGAATCCTTAGCTCCCTAGAAATGGTCCACAGTCACATGCCATACTTAAAGAGAAATGGATGGTCAAATAATTCTATTCCTCATCAATTCAAACAAATCAAAATTGGTTTAAATCACACACACACACACACACACACACACACACACGTACCTGCCCTTGATAAGATTGAACGGTTCTCTCCAATTCTTCCTCAAGATCTTTGGCTCGTGCTCTAAAAGGAACAAATAATTATTCTACCACAGTATTAAAATATAATAAACACTCTAAAAAATATCAAAGCACCCCAATGCTCCATTTGTGTGATAAACAACTCCAAAACTCATGTTAAGAAATCACCTTTAAGGAACTGTAAAGAATATTCTGTCCTGATCTAAGTGTATTTTTAACACTTGTTTGGTATAATTTATTTTTTTTTTTTTTTTTTTTTTTTTTTTTTTTTTTTTTGGTTTTTCTCCGGTACCGGGAACTGAACTCACGACCTTGCGCATGTCAGGCAGGCGCTTTTGCCGCTGAGCTAAATCCCCAGCCCCCTGGTATAATTTATTGATTGCCATCCAGTTGCTCCAAAAGGGTTCTTCTCCGCCTTTCGAACCCTCACTCAGTCCACTGCCGCAAGCATCCCCAGTACCACAATGCTTCCCCGTCTTTTTCTCAAGTGATTTGTGTTTTGATTCCAATCTGTCCTTTTCATTTTCCTGATCTTTTTTTTTTATCCTTTCCTAGCTCAGCATCTGATTCCAGAGAGTCAGATTCCTGTCTCCTCTTCTTTTCTTCTATGCTCCTCTGCTTTGTTACATAACTTCTAGCAGACTCCACACTAGGAGAACGCTCTGAAGCAGAAGGGGACTCTGCCTGCCGACTTTCTTCTTTGAATGGCCGTTGTCATCATCTGAACACGACTCCGACAGACAGTGGGAACATTTCCTATGACGTTTCTTAGGTTTCAAAGAATATTTTTTACTCTCTGAATGATGATGCTGGCTCTTGCTCAAGGACATACATAAAATCTTTGAATATTCTTTTTCTTTCAGACTCTACAGTTATATCCTCAAATGCTGGTTCTTTTACAGATCTCTCCAGGGTATTTTCCCAAATGGCATCCTGACCTATTTTAACCTGAAGATACCACCTGCTTTTATCTGAAGCAAAGTTGCACAAAGGCTACAATATATACTTTTTTTTAAGAAGCATGACCCTGGAAGATGTATTCAGATGCCAATAACCTCAGCAGAATTCTAGGAAACTAACAACTTTTACAAACTAAAATATTACTTTTTACCTTTATAAGACTAACAAAATAAGTCCTTGTTTTGGATAAAACCAAGCTTACCCCTTCCCAAAGGTAAAACCAAAATATCACAAATACATATTATGGACACTATTATATCCTGTTTCCTTTTTCTCTATTTCTTTGGGTCTAGTGAAGATTGAATCAAGCTAGTCTTACAAACTTTATCAGGATGCTAATTGTGGCTTATTTTTCTTTTTATAGCATACATACTGTGCAACTCATTAATATTATATACATTCTTCCCATTTGAACTGAAAAGTAAAAGATCTTAAAATTCATGTGTTCATGAATTTCTTGATATTAACATAAAACAGAAATGTTCATATGCAGATGTGAGCTTTAAAATTCACATACCCTTAAAATGAAAACATTTTTCCTTTTCATATTTTCTGTATAATTGTGTAACAGTAAGAATTCTGAATGAAAGCAATGAAATAAAAGGCTGCTTTATCTTCTTCTCTATTACTGAATTTTTAGATAACCTCATGCACCCCCCCAAAAGAGTATTAAATACCTGTAGGTCTCCAGCTCTTCAGCAGCATGGCTAATCTTTTCATCCAGTTTAGAAAGTTTCTCCTCTTTTTCTAACCGGTAATTTTCCTCTACTGTTAATTTCCTTAAAACAAGTGCATTATTTCTTTTAATACGTGTCACAAAATAATCAATTACATCTTTTTAAATTGTATCAAGACTGGTGTTTCTTCTATAACAATTTTTAAAATACCACTACAAACATCACATGCAAGAAAAAAGCAGTAAACATTTCTGGTGTGGAATATTATAAACTCAAAATTGTATTGTATCCGGTATATACTATTGAAATTATGGTCTCAAGAGTTTATGCCTGGTGCAGTGGTGCACACCTGTAATCACAGCACTCAGAAGGCTGACACAGGAGGATTGCTGCAAACCTGAGGCCACCCTGGACTACACAGTGAGTTCAAGGCCTGCCTGAACTGCATGGTAAAACCCTGTCTCTAAAAGACAACAAAAAGTCTTCTTTCTTAATTTATCAAAAAAATAAGGTTATAAAGATAAATGCTAATAACAACTATTATGATTATACATCATTTATCAAGCCTTCTTATATAGAAAGTATTAAGTATTTTAGACAAAAAAGTTACCATCTAATAAACTATATTGCAATATTTTTAAATTGGTGATTAAAAATAGGAATTAGGCCATACCAACTAGTTTAAGAGACTAAAAATAATAACAGAATAAACCCAAAGTGAATAATATTAGAAGCAGTACCAGTCCTACTTACTAGTCTCAGTTTTTGTTTTTTGTTTTTTGAGACAAGGTCTCACTATGTAATTCATGCTCACCTTGAATGTGCTGCAATCCTCCTGCCTCAGCCTCCCGAGTGCTAGGATTGTAACAGTGCGCCACCATGCTTGGCTATTCTTAGTTCTTTTAATAGTAATAATAAGTAATTTATTGAGCCATTAGTATGTGCTATTAGTCTAGCACAGTATCGAGCCATTCCAGTGGTGGCAAGCCTATGGCCCATGTGACACACGCCAGGCTGTTAGTATCACGGAAAGCCACCACTGGAAGAGCCCTTTATACATGTTCTGATATTTAATTACTAAAATACCTCTAAAAGAAAGGCACTATTATTATTCCTATTTTACAAAAATGAAAATAAAGCACAGAAAACGTCACACTAGGTGCATTACTTAACAACAGGGATCTGGCGAGAAACGTGTCACTGGGCAATCTGGCCCCATCACACGTACATCAGAGTGTCCTCACACAGACTGAGACAGTCACGACGTCACTCGGCAGCGTAACCGTAAGACAGCCACACATACGGCTCTCCGCTGACCAACACAGCATTCTGTGCCGTGTGACTGTAACTGGACCAAGGCAGAGGGCTCCCAAGTCCTCTACATTACCCAGATCGCTCCACGTAGTATTACTAATGCTGTTCTCTCAAGAAACAGTAGTGAACAACACAGAGATGTCTCCTGTCTTTTCTGAACTTTGTAAAGGAATACCACAAACTTCCAGAGAAAAAGCACTGGACACAAGTAAATGTTTCATAGTCTATACACTATATGCCTACTGCTTAGAAAGTACTCCCCTAGGGGAATCTTTCTGTAAGTCCTGTAAGAAAAGTGATTGCCCCAGGAAAAGCACAAAGGTAGAAGGGCACAGGTATGGAAGGAAGGGTGTCTCTCAGACTGTACACTGAAGATGGCCAGCCACTCGCTGACACCCCACCCCCCGAGACTTGAGCTCTTATTTACCCTCCCCTCGATTCCGTGACGGCCTATAAAAGGTAGAAATCACACTGTGAAAGGAAACCCAATGAGACAATTACAGAACAATCATATCTCCGCAGATTTAAAGCAACACACTAAGTTCCTGGGTTCTACATTTTTACTTCTCTGCAGTATCAAATTTGGAGAAGTGCTAACTAATAATGTAATATAAGTCGTGAAAACCATCATGCCAGAAAACGACCGAGTCTACATTATACTGCACGCAGGAGAAAGTTTCAGTCTAACACCTTCTTGGTTCTGTCAACTCTCTATGTTTTACTCTGAAGAATAACTAGGAGCATAATTCCTTGAATTTGAGCAGTACCTAGTTTAAGAATGTAATATATAATATTTTGGGAATTAAAATCACAATGAAGGTAACATACACAGGTATGATACTATTAGGTCTCTCATTCTTGCTCTGAAAATCTACAGAAAATAGCTTCTTTTCTTTGAAATTTAAACATATCTAATTAAAATCCCATATCAACCATACATACTTTTATTCAAAAAAAAAAAATACACTCAGAAGTATTTCTGTCACCTCAAATAATCTCTTTATGTTCAAAATATATTTCCAGTACAGTGGTACCTCAGTTCACGAACTTAATTCTTTCCATGATTCTAGTCTCAGACTGAATCAAATGAGAATCAAATCAAATTTCCGCATAAGGGCAACACTGAACCTAACCACTGAATGTGATTTGGTTCTCCTCTGATTCAGTTTGCACCCAGAATCATGGAAAGAATTAAGTTCGCAAACAGAGGTACCGCTGTATCTTCTAAGTCATTCTAAAAGAATGTTCTTAGGTTTACTCACTGAAACCCTGAGGCTATACTTCAGCTTCCCCATTTAGTCAAATTTATTTCTCCTCTATAGCCTGTGAAGTCCAAACCGGCCCACAGGTCCATGATGAATGTTAAGTTTTCACCTATGAATTTAATCCAAAGCACTGAGATATACAGCTTGGCAGAGAATGAGCCTAACCAGCTAACTACCCAACACCCTCATCTCAATGGAGCATTAATATTTTCTACCAACTGACAAGTATATACAGGAGCTTCTTATAATTTATGCTAGTTACATTCTATGAAGCTGCCACAGCCCTGATTAACAAATACAGGAATCACTGTTCCTAAGGGTAATACAGGATTAGGGTCATATTAGCTTCTGGTCATAACAACTTTATCAAGAAATCAATATACATTCTTGCTTCATTTTACTGAAACGCACACTGTTGATTTATGAACACTGTCCTCACAACCAACAGTACTACAACTCATGCCTGAACAAAGTTTATGTGACGTGTATTTTCCCCATAAAGTATCTCACGACCTTCTTGTACTTCAGAATACTAGACAGCACCTCAGCGTTATGCTTGGGGAGAATTTTAAACAGCTAAATCATCCAAAACAGCACAAAAATGTAAAAGATGTGCTACTAAACACTATGAAAACAACTCCTATCTCCTGCCTAAGAGTTAAAACCAGAAAGGCAGAGAGCTGCCTCACTCAGCCTTGGCTGCGCAATTCAGACTTTTAGAGTTTTCAGCATGTCCACAAATGGCCGCAAGAACTCTGCAAGAACCGATTTGAGGGCTACAAATAAATTTCACAAAGTAGGCAAAATTGCACATACACAGTAAGATGAGGCAGGAAGATTGCCAGAAAATCAAAGCCAGCCTAGGCTACACAGTGATTTCAAAGCCAGCCTAAACTAAACAGTGAGACCCTGTCTCAAAATACTAGTAATAATAAAAGTAACAATACAGTTTTTCCTCACCTGTGGAGTTTCCTTTCATTTTCCTGATACAGTTCAGTCATTACTTCAAGTTTCTGCTGAAGCCTCTGACTCTCACTTGCAAGCTGTGTATTTTGTGACTGCAGTGACGCTTGTTCAGCCTGGAGATTTTTAATACGCTCTACAGAAAATTTGGAAAACTCAAAGAAATAAATATTCTGATGTACACTGACATTTCAAAAGATAAAAACTACTAAAAATAATTTATAATCTAACTTCAAAAACAATGGGAAACCTGTAAAGTCTTTTGTTCATGCAAATTTTTTTTAATATTTTACTTAAGGAGCTATATACTTTGTTCTAATTTTTTCATTAGTATATCCTTGCTATACATCATAGTTATATTCAATCTGGGGAAGTGGCACATGTACAGAGCATATCTTCATTTTCGATCCTCTCACCTCCCTCCCCTATCACCATCCCATCTCTATGACTACCTCTCTGCTTCCTACAATTTCTCCTTTATTTTACTCTATTCGTGTCTCAGATTTGTCATATAAGAGAAAGCGTGCTATATGTAACAGTCTATGTCTGACTTTATCTGACTTACTTCACCTAACGTTAGGGTCCTAAGTTCTATCCATTTTCCTTTTTTTTTCTTTTTTCTTTTTTCTGGTACCAGGAATTAAACTCAGAACCTTGCGCTTGCCAGGCAGGTGTTGTGCTGCTAGCTATATCCCTGGTCTCCATCCATTTTATTGAAAATCACATAATTTCCTTATTCTTTCTGGCTGAGCACTGAACATGTGTGGTAAGAGTAGACAGGTGTCTTAATTCATTTTAGAGGGATGCTCCCAGTTCTTCCTCATTCAGTATGACGCTGTGTTTTTCTCATACATGGCTTTTATCAATTTGAAGTAAGGTTCTTCTACACTTTTTTTCATCAGGGTTTTTATCGTGAAGGGATGCTGGGGTTTGTCAAAGGTTTTCTCTATATCTACTGAGCTGCTCATGTGATTTTTTTCCATGATTCTATTTATTTAACAATGTATTACACTTACTGATTTACACATGTTCAGCCATCCTTGAACTTCTGGGATGAAGTCAACTTGGTATCTGATCTTTTTAATAATTTGTTGAATTCTGTCTGCAGGTATCTTATTGGGGATTTTTGCAACTATGTTCACCAAGGATATTGGCTTGTGGTTTTTCTTCTTTTTTTTTGTTAATATATACTAAAATACACTTCCTTGAAAGTAGGGTTCATATTATTTCCTTCTGTGACATTCCTATGGCTTTTGTACTCTACATTACATATATCAAGCTTTGGTATCATGGTAATGCTGGCTTCATGGAATGAGTTTGGAACTATTCCTCCCCTTTCCATTATGTGGAAAAGTTAGCAGAGTATTGATGCTAGTTCTTTTCAAAAGTTGTGGTAAAATTCAGCGGTGAATCCACTGGGTCCTGGGCTTTTCTTCAATGTGAGGTTTTTTTTTTCTTTTTTCTTTTTTTTTTTTGTCTTTTTGAGACAGTGTCTCGCTATGTAGCTCAGGCTGACCTTGAGCTCACTTTGTAGCCCAGGCTGGCCTCGAACTCACAAGGATCCTCCTGCCTCACCCTCCCAAGTGCTGGGATTACAGGCATGCACCACCACGCCTGGCAAATGTGAGCTTTTATTACTGCATTTATTTGCTTGCTACTGATCTGTTAAGAGTTTTTGTATCTTCTTGGTTCAATTTTGGTAAGTCATATGTGTCAAGGAATTTACCCATTTCTTCCAAATTATCTAATATTGGAATATGTTTTCAAAATAGTATCTAATAGTCCTCTGCATTTCTGTGGTGTCTTATAATTTTGCCTTTTTCATTTCTAATTATATTGATATGAATGTTCTTTTAGTAAGTCTGGCTAACAGCTTTCAATCTTATTTATCCTTTCAAAGAAGAACTCTTTAATTCATTAATTCTTCATACTGTTTGTTCAGTCTCAATTTCATTGATTTCCACTCTGATTTTTATAATTTCTTTTCTTCTACTGGTTTGGGGTTTGGATTGCTCTGGTTTTTCTGGGACCTTGACACATACCATTAGGTTATTCAGGATCACTCTGTTTTTCTAATGTAGGCACTCATAGCTATAAACTTCCATGCATCGTGTTCCACAGATTCTGATGTGTCCTATTACCAATGTCATTTGATTCTATACATTTTTAAGTTCCTCCCTTGATTTCTTTTGAGACCTACTGATCTTTCAAGGGTGTACCATTTAATCTTCATGTTTGAATAGTAGAAATATGTTAATATATACTAAAATACACTTCCTTGAAAGTAGGGTTCATATTATTTCCTTCTGTGACATTCCTATGACTTTTGTACTCTACATTACATAGAGTGGTATTTCTTAAAAACTAAAAGCAATGTTTTTCAAAGTCCAATAATAACCTAACTAACACATGTAAGAAGAGCAATGACCATTTTTTTAGGTATCGCCGTATCTGGTAGTTCAACCTTTAAAACTGTAAATATAGTTAATGTATTATAGAAGTTTTGAAAGTACTGATCAGTAAAAAGAAAACAAAAATCTCCCCATAACCCTATATTCAAAGTTAACCATGGCTGACAGTTGATGATGTCCTTCCAGTCTTTCTGAATGCAAACATATATGGTGAATTCTTTTCATTTTTGTATAAAATGAGATGTCATTTACACCAATTTAAGCCAGGCATGGTCGTGCACGCCTGTAATCCCAGCACTCGGGAGGCTGAGGCAGGAGGATCGTTGTGAGTTCGAGAACAGCCTGGGCTACAAAGTGAGCTCAAGGCCAGCCTGAACTGCATAGCGAGACCCTATCTCAAAACGACAAAAAAAAAAAAAAAAAAATTAAAAAATTCTTGGCTGGGCATGGTGGCAGACACCTGTAATCCCAGTGCTCTAGGAAGCTGAGGCAAGATCAGAAATTCAAGAACACCTTGGGCAACTTATCAAAACTTTGTTCCAAAATACAAAGTTAAAAACGGCTAGGGATTTAGCTCTGAGCTAATAAGGCCCTGGGTTCAATCCCAAAAAACATACAAACACTTATTTACCTTTTAAAAAAATATAAACATTATCAGTAAAATAAACAGAAATGTTTTCAATGAAAAGAAAAATGTACAGGTCTAATATTCATCCTATATGTGCTAATAAACATGTATTTATATTAAAGAAGGAAGCCATCTACAGCAACTAGTACTACTACTGAAGATTGGTTTTGTGACAAAATGTTTAAAGTTCCAATTTGCTATTTCTTAGTATCTAAAACTATACCAACTACGACACTATAATAAACAGTTTTACATGTGTTCAAAAATTCCATTAATTTCTCATAAATATAAAAGAAACTGAGAAAGCATTACCAACAACAAAACTCAGGACTAATTTTACATAAATACTCCCCAATAAAACTGGATCTTCCCAAAACTGATTCAATCACTCATGCTCCATAAAGAGATGTATTTATTTGGAAATATTTTTAAACTATGTAGATTACTTACCTGTAAGATCTTCCTTTATTTTATCTACTTCAGATAACTGAGTATAAATCTGGTTTCTTTCTCCTTCTAAAGATTTTAAAGAAGCATTTAACTTTAAAGAAGAAAAAAATAACATTAATCAGTTAAACAAATAACAACAACAACAAAAACCCTCAATGTGCCATCCCCACCCTTCTGAAGCTATTTTATCACTCTGATGAAATTGATGAAATTATCACCCAGAAACCAACAATGCCACTTCCATCTCAGAAAGCTAGTGAAGTCATTGATAATTAATTCTGAGACCAGGAATAGAGAACATCAGTGAATGTTTTTTACTAGGTGCTTAAAGAGTCACTATTCTTTTTCTATTTTTTTCTATTTACTTTCAACACAAGTTTTGACAGCCTTCACATTACATTACCAAGACTTCACATAAATCAGCAAAGATCAAGACAGAAGAAAAAACAAATAAGCCAGAAGAAAATAATAAACCCAATATTTTCTTCTCAAAGTAGGAATGGTACAGTAGGGATAAGAAAATACTAAGACAAGAAGAAAAAGAATATACTAAGAAGTCTGAGATAAAATACAGTAAACTTTTTTTTGTCTTTTTGAGACAGGGTCTTGCCACACAGTTCAGGCTGGCCTTGAGCTCACTTTGTAGCCCAGGCTGGTCTCAAACTTCCAACAATCCTTCTGCCTCAGCCTCCCAAGTGCTGGGATTACAGGCATGCGCCACCACTACCAGCCAAATATTTTAAATACATTCATCATCTGAAGAAATGAGTAACCTTGGAAGTTTTCAATAGATTCTAAAAATTATGAGTTTCTAAAGTTAATATAAAAAAGTTAAAAGTAACTGACATATTTCTGATCATTTCTTCAATATGTCCTTGTGACATATTTCTGATCACAAGGACAATGAAATGGACTTTTAAAATAGTTATTAGAAAAAAAAAAATTAAAATAGTTATTAGACAGGTGTCATGGTGCACACCTATAATCCCAGAACTTGGGAAGCTGAAGTGGAAAGACTGTCACGAGTTCCAGGCCAGCCTTAGCTACATAGTGAGCTCAAAGCCAGCCTGAACTACACTGCAAGACCCTGTCTCAAAAACACACAACAAAAAAATAAAATGAAATAAAAAGCGATTAAGGACATACAGGTTTAATCTGTGTGCTATTTCTTCATCTACATTTTTTATAGTTACATAATAATACCTTAGCAGCATAAATCAGTTTCTTCAAAGCTCCTTTTGGCTCATTATCTATTATGAAAAATACAATTAGTTGGAAAGGCAGCACAATACTCCAAATAACTGTATTAGTTCACTCAAGTAGAACCCTGTAATTCCAGAATTTGGCATAAGGTACAATGGTCTTTGTTCCCAGGAAACTAAACAATAAAAGCACCAGAAGTACCATATCGTTTAAAAACATTCCTCTATGTTAAGTCCAAAACTAGGGTTATAACAAGGATTGAGCATTCACCTACATACACACCACCACCCCAACTATTCTTGGACTTTTATAGCACCCAAACCGAGTGGAATTATAACCCAAATAAAATATTACACAAGACCAAGTTCTACTAGAAAATGAATTACTTCCTTTATGATATAAGTAAAAATAAAGTAGATATAGAACTTGAGCAGTTGCACTTTCTGTGATTTCCACGTGTTTTATAAATGGCTGGAAAATAATAAATGGAAAATTCTATAAACAGTTTTAAATGATGCACTAGCCTAAGCAGCACCTAGCACTGGAATTTCACGCTGATCTATCATTCCTTTCCGCCTGAGATGAAAGTCACCCACTTGCCCAGCGTATCCATGCTGTGAACGCTGTCTGCACATCAGTCACTCAACAGTCATCTCAGTTATCAGATGACCTGCCGTAGCACAATAAGAGGAATCACACCCACATCATTTTCCTCACACTATACTGTTATAATTACTCATTACTGTTATAATTTTCTTACTACAGGTTGCACATTAAATACTGACACAGACATGTAGGTATGAAAGAAAAACAGTGTACACAGGCGTCAGTACCAAATGTTACAAACATCTACTAGAAAGTATGAATAGTATCTCTTGAGGACTACTATATATATTTACTTCAAGATAATTTTCTCCAACATATGAATACTATCATGAAAGAATATGTTATTTTAAAAAAAATCACTGCTGTTCCTCCTTAAAAACAGTGCTAACTGTAGCAGATCAGAGGAAAAAAGAAAATACATAAAGGAGGAACAATCATTGGAGCAAACTGGGAGGAGGGCACAAGATATCTTCGTACTATTCTGACAATCTCTCAGGAGTCTAAAATTATTTCAAAGGTGGAAGGAGGAAAAGAGAAGGGTACATAAAAAGAATTAAGGTATGTACCAACTCTGCATGATGAATGGAATCATTATGTACTGCAAGAACGTACTAATAAAAGTAATTTTAAAAATGAAATTATATCAGAAAAAGATTTTTTGACACATTAAAGGAATAGGCTTGCGAATCTAGTGAGGGCTATAGTGAATTTAACTCCTGCCAATTCCAGAACACAACCAACGATGGCAATGACAATCTGAGACAGCTATGACTAAAGTACTACAGTCATCTGACTAAAACAAAAAGAAAAGTATCATGAACTATTGATTTACATAACGTTCCTGTTTTGAAGGAGTCACCCATCCACCAACTTGAAGCACAGGAAAAAAAAGGACTGAAATGATCCAGTTTTGGAAACTGTTGCAATGAAGACATATGTAACACAGAGGGAGCAGAGGGGTGGGAGGCTGTGAGTTCGAGGAGCGCAAGAAAGACTTCCTGACAAGGCGGTAATCCAGCTAAAACTCAACTGTACGGGATGGACAGAGAGACAGACGGTGTTTCAGACAGACAGACAGACAGAAAATGCTAACGTACAAGTGGACAGAGAACAGGGTGCACATGGGGAACACAAAGGCAGTAGAAGAGCTAGTCACCATTTCAGCAAAAGAGGATGATCATGACTTAATACCTAAGTGAGTACCACTTGCGGATTCACTCCTCAGGTCCAATTCCAAGTTACCATCATCTCCTATGTCTTCTCCAAGCACAGCAGCCCAATCTTTCATCTTTATCAAGCGTTCAGTCAGAGACTTGACATTTAACAAAGGGAAAAATCAAAGAAAGAAGGTAATGCCTTATGCTAATGGCTTTACAACTTATGAATGTGCAACAGTTAAAAGTTAATCCATGTAATAACAGCATACAAGTACTTATTTTCTGTTACTAAGATATGTAATTTCTGTTACTAAGAACTATAAAATTTGTTGATTATTAAATTCTGTGAGCTAAAAACCAAATTATTTCTAAACCAAATCCAATGGCCCATTCTTGCTAGATATACTATATGATTACAAAGTAGTAAAACACTGCCTTATATGACATTTCTCACATGCCACAAATAAAACAGGCATTAACATGGGAGTGAGTTTATGGAACATGAAATCTGCAAATGAGACAAAATGATATACAAAACGATCACAGATTTTTACTGGATTCACTCAAGTCAACACCTAGCTAAGGAATTCAGTTGCTGAACAAAGACATTATAGAACAGAATTTAAATGAGAATATTAAAAGTTTTACAACAGTGTTTAAAATCTTGAATAAAGGACAATTTTCTAACACTATGGATAATCAAACCACTACACCCTGCTCTAAAGTTTTCACCCTTCAACTTTGTCCCTCTCTTCAGAGTTTCTGGCACAAATAACGTAAACTACAGCTGTGAGCAGTGGTTGGGGATCACATCTCATTCTTTGGTTTAGGAAGAATCCCAGGCCCCTTAAGCAGAGTAAGTTTAGGGGAAAAAATAGTACACTCATCCCTCAGTATCCAAGGGAACTGGTTCCAGGCTACCACCCTCTGCCATGGATACCAAAACCCACAGACACCCAAGTTCCTCCCTCATGAGAAAAGGCATAGTATTGTTCACAACTTATGCATATCTCCCTGTATACTTTACAGCATCTCTAGAGGACTTAGAATACCTAATACAATGTAAACTCTAATCAATAGCTGTTATGCTTTACTATTCAGGGAATAATGACAATTAACAACTCTGTGCTCAACACAGGTGCAGTCTGGGGGCACTTTTGATCTATGGTTGGTTGAAGTCACAATTCTGGAACCTGTGGATACAGAGGGCCAACTTCATGGCAAATTATGAATAAAACTCCTGAAGCTAGTGTCTTGACAACATTTCGTAACAACAAAACTAGCACAAGTGTATAGCAATACCAATTTTGCTGTATAGATTACTGAAGATATTTTATCTTGTTATTGATACAGTAGAGTATCTATACTGTGAAAGTTTAAGATTTAAAAGCAATGAGGAACAGTGACTCACACCTGCGATCCCAGCACTCTGGAAGGTAAAGGTAGTGGAACTGCAAGTCTGAGCTCAGCTTGGGCAACTTAGCAAGATCCTGTCTCAAAATTAAAAAATAAGTTCTGGGGATACAGCTCAGTGTGAAGGCCCTGCAATCAGTCCCCAGTACAGGCTGGCAGGGCCCGGGGGAGGGGCCGTGTGCAGGAAAAGAGCTGGCACAGGGAGCACAGGGAGCAGGAGAAAGTCAAACCAACCCTGAGAGTGATATCAATTACTTCATTCCTATTATTACAGTCAAGTTCCAGTTAAATTTATTTTTAAAAGGCTTTCATCTCTATAAAAGTGTATAATACTAGCTCGTTTACGTATTAAAGATATTGTCAATAAACATGACTTTAACTCTCTGTCCTATTTCTCAAACTCCTTCCCAACTCGTACCAGTAGAAAATTAGCAGCCGAAAGAGAAAAGATAAAAATCATTATTCATTTCCCTTAAGTACCTAGAATAAGATCATAGACAAAACGGACACACAGAATACAGAGGACTGATACATATGCTATAAATCCATAAATCTTTAAGAAACACTTGAAAGTCTAGCCAAATACTTAATAAAATTAAAGCATCCAAAAACAAGTTTTCAAATGTCAGAGTTAGTATCCAGTCCACCCAGGCATGAAAACTAGTGCAGCGTTTACCTTGATGTGGTTTTCCTTGTCGCTCAGAACTTGCTCTGCGCGCACTCGGGAGTCTTCCAGTGCTACTTTCTGCTGATTAAGCTCGCTCACTTGTTCTTTCCACATTTCAACCTCTTGTAAAAGCTGAAGTCGAAACAACAACTGAGAAATGAGCTCATCACACGTACGCACACATGCACTTACTGACGTATTTGGGTGTATCACTCAGGTACGACTCACTTGGCAGTTTACCCTGAGCGCCACTCAGGCAGCACCTCTGTTTACATGCTGACTGCCTGGAGCGTCACTCGGGTGTCATTTCAACCACTTAATGCTTGTATTGAATAAATTTGATAAAACTGTCATTTTTATATTTCCCATTATATCATCTTGTAAAAATTAACGAAAAAAATACACAATTTTTGGTCATCCTATATTTAAATAATTAGACTGGTAAGTGGTTAAGAAGCAGTGCTGCTGCTACTCAGAAAGACTGGTTACTGTTTTCAAATAAATTTCAAACTAATAGTGTAAAATAACAGGCATTTAAAATCATTTAAATTTGATTTATAAAACAAATTTATATCAAAGAAAAGGGTTCCCAACACATACGAATCTGTTACACTTGGTCAGGGTTTCTTCTTTCTTGTGTGTGTGTGTGTGTGTGTGTGGGTGTGGGTGTCTGTGTGGGTGTGTGGGGTGGGTGGATATGTGTGTACTGGGATTGGGCCCATGCTCTCATACATGCTAGGCAACTGTGCTACCACGGAGCTATGTCCCTAACCCTTTTAAAAATTTGATTTTGACTCCCTCTAAATTGCTGAGGCTAACCTCAAACTTGCAATCCTCCTGCCTCAGCTTCTTGGGTCGGTGGGTTTATAAGCATGTGCCACCACAGCTAGTAATTTGGCCTTTTCTTACCATTCCTTACATCTCCTCTAACACACACATCTTACTTGCATTGTTGTACTGTTTTATACTAAAGATAACTGGCCTTTAGGAATATCAATAATCTAGAGCAGATTGGATTCCACATAAACAATATTCCACTGTATAAAATTTTGCAAAAACAGCTTTCTGAACGTAACACAAAAACTTATTAAAAGAGGTAGATGACTATGTAACACTTAAAAACAATTCAAATACATATAAAACAAAAAAATTTTAAAAAGGAATTAAAAAGGAATTTTTATATGCTACAAATCATTAATAACCTTAGCATGCAAAGAGTTAGTGGAAGTCACTAAGAGCATGGCATAGTACACATGCCTACAAATCCAGCACTCTGGAGGCTGAGGTAGGAAGGCTGCCCTGAGTTTCCCACCAGCCTGGGCTATAGTGAGTTCAATGTTAGCCGGAATTACATAGTGAGACCCGGCACCAAAGTAATCAAAAATGCTAAAGGAAGTCAGTAAGAAAAACAGGCTTCAAAACAGACGAAGCAAGCAGTTCACAGGAGAAACAGAACATAAATATGAAAATAAAGTCCCAATTTACTCTAATGCATTCTAGCACACAGTAACTACTGGAGCTCTCTGCAAAACTCTACCTTCACTAGCATATTCCCACCACTCCAAAAGAAATCTAACTCATAGATCATACTGACACACACAAATAATGAGGATTGAGCTGGGCGTGGTGACACACGCCTATAATCTCAGCACTCGGGAGGCTGAGGCAGGAGAATCACTGCAAGTTTGAGGCCAGCCTGGGCTACATAGTGAGTTTAAAGGTAGCCTGAACTATAGTCAGCCAGACTGTCTCAAAAAAAAAAAAAAAAAAAAAAAAAAAGGGACAGAAAACAAGCATGCTAGAAGCACCCAGGCTGAGCAGGGTGGGGCTGGACGCATCATCTAGCAGCCAGGCAGCTGGGGGAGGAGGCGTCGAGTTGCTGTCCGAAGGGGCGGCCAGGGACCTTCGCCCTCTGTGATGTGGTCACGCAAGAGTCGTTAGGACACCTGCCTCGCCTCCCTGCACGCCCCCGTGGCTGCGCACCTGGCTCGGTGGCCTGGGAACTCTGGGAGCCCGCGGCCTCCAGATGCTGTGAGAGGGGCAGCAGGGAGATCAAAGGGGCCAGGGATGAAGCTGGCACCGGAGTGAGCAGGTCCAGGAGCCCGGGAGAGACAGGTCTGCCTGCAGAAAAGACTTGGCATGCAGTAAGGAAGGGCTGGACAATAATGGGTGAGAAAGGGTTATTCCATAAGCAATCAATGAGCTCTTGGGGAAAAAGTATGTTTCACTCTATAGTCCAGGCTGGCCTCTAACTCATTATCGTAGCTTACGTTGGCCTTGAAATCATGATTCTCCTGCCTCAGCCTCCCAAGTGCTTGAATTACGGGCATGCGTCACCATGCCCGACTAAAAATTTAATTTAATTTAATTTAATTTAATTTGTTTATTTATTTTTTGTCTTTTCGAGACAGGGTCTCTATATGCAGCTCAGACTGCCCTTGAACTCACTTTGTAGCCCAGGATGGCTTCTAACTCACAATGATCCTCCTGCCTCAGCCTCCTGAGTGCTAGGATTAC